CCAAAATTGTGTTGTTTCTGTGTGTGCGTGCGTGTGTGTGTGTGTGCGTGTGTGTGTGTTCAAATCAAAGTAGACCCCATCAACACTTTTGACAATATAAATACTTTTGCAGCTACACACCCTGTTTGAGGATATAGAGGCTCTCCCATGTTTAATTCCAGTTTCAGGCCATAGAGGCTCTTGAGTATCAAGTGGGTCATATGACTACATAGTACTTTAAATTGCCCCATTTATTGTTTATGTGAGTTCCAAGTGGGTCATATGACTACATAGTACTTTAAATTGCCCCATTTATTGTTTATGTGAGTTCCAAGTGGGTCATATGACTACATAGTACTTTAAATTGCCCCATTTATTGTTTATGTGAGTTCCAAGTGGGTCATATGACTACATAGTACTTTAAATTGCCCCATTTATTGTTTATGTGAGTTCCAAGTGGGTCATATGACTACATAGTACTTTAAATTGCCCCATTTATTGTTTATGTGAGTTCCAAGTGGGTCATATGACTAAACTAAATTGCCATATTTATTGTTTATGTGAGTATAAAGTAGTTGATATGATCAATAGTGCATTAGATTGCCATATTTATAGTTCAAGTGACGTAAAATGTGAACTGTGAGAATATTGTAACAAGAAAGTGTTTTTATTTCATTAGTAGTTTCTTCCTACCCCCCCCAAAAAAATACAAGTATGAAAAGTTTGTATTTATCCAGCTCTCGACATTTAGATCAACTAGGCATATACTTAACTGGAAGTAAATGAAGACACACATGACTTTGCAGATTTGTTCCGAGTACCGCATCATAAATCATTGAAGGGTTGACTAATAATCTATTGCTTTTCACCCATCAAAGGGTTGACATACATTCGTTTGCGTCAATGGTAAATGAGTCAATAACATATCATTTAAATTACAAAGGTTTCCAACATTAATATATATATATATATATATATATATATATATATATATATATATATATATATATATATATATATATATATATATATATATATATATATATTCCACTTCTAAAGAGTTCTATTTATTCAGAAATGCCTTTATATGTGAAAGTAAATCAGATCCACGCAACAGCTCAAAATTAGGATCAATTATCGTAAAAGTACACAAAAAGTGGATCTCTCAGCAAGCCTTTTCAAACACTCATTTAAGACGTTATTCATGTAATTACCGTCTGCATACGATTCAAATCAATATTATTTTATCGTCTAGTAACATGTGTCATGTGATCATAAAAGTAACATATAAAAAGTGCCTTTGTTGAATATATCTGACAATTTAGGTGGAAAAGATTGGGGATCGTTGTGATATACATGAATGTGTATGGCAAATCACTGATCACAACTTTTGTTGTGCGTAAAATTTTTTTTAAAACTAACTTACCCCACCATATATGTTGTGTGTAGAGACCGGTAGGTGTCCTATCAAAATCAAAACCTTTTTTGGGGGACTGCTCGTTTTTTTTGGGGGGGGTGGGGAATTTGTAAAATTTTGGATATTTTGAAATTTCTCTATAAAACGCCTTGTAATATCGTAAAATTTTCTCTGGATCAATGATTATGAGGCAATCATTAAGGCTTTCCGTCATATATCATCATGCCGTTGTTAGTTATGTCACTAGGTGTTATTAAACGTGAAATATTGGAAAATATTATATGCGTATATAAAGTTAATGGCTACCATCAATGCTCAGTGGTTCGAGTCTCACACTCGTGACCAAAAAGACGCGGGGCCGAGTCCTACCAACCGATCAGCATGGGCTTGCCACTGTGGTATATTCTTGGGCATTGCACTTTACTCCAGTTGCCAAGGCGTGAAATAACCTCCACATTTTTCAAGTGCCGACCACACCAATATAAGCCTAAATAACACAATAGCTGTGTGACTGCGTAATTATTCCTTTCGATACAAGATTTTTTTAAAAATACAATCAGATGTGACAGCCCTATGTCAAAACGTACGAAATAGATCACGGGTTCAAATTAACCCCATGATGTGATGCACGTTGTTGTTTTATCAATTTATAAGTACAATTCATTATAAATGCTATTATAGAGGAAGACGCTGCTGTGCATTACTGGAATCTTCCCTGGTATCATTATAAAAGTTGGTTATACTATATTAACTTATATCATTATAACAGTTGTTTTTACCAGATTCACTTATATCATAATATCAACATTTTTGCACCAGACAGATGGCTTCTCCCACTTAGCCAAATAAATTAAGGCTTTCATGTATTCATGTGTTCCCCTCCGATGTGTCGCAAATGTTTTATTATAAAAGAATTTTGAAAAACCCAAATTTTTAACAGGGTATTTATTTTCACTAGTGTTATCTAAAAGGTGACCTCCCCATCTCCGATTTCATTCTTCATATTAAAAAGGTTCATCCCTTTTTTGTTTCAAATGACCCTTGCCAGGGGTTGCTTACGTCCTGTGAGTGTTATGTGTGTATTGCTATATTGTGTGTATGCTCTATATGTGTATATGTAAGGACGGCATAATATGTATACCAATTATTTTTAGTTGTTATTAAAGTATCGACAAATTATTTTAATTCAATTTTCATTAAATTTAGATTTTTGTATGAGAAATGGTGTAATAGATTTATAAAATATATACCTGGTGTTTTGGTGGATGCTAATTTGTTTATCATTTCTCATCATCTAGATTTTGAATATAGGAGTCTGGTCATAAGGCCGGTTTGCAAGGAGCCATGTTGTGTCCTAATTTATTCCTTTGACTCCTCTTGATAGGAAGCAGGCCTTATTTCCATACACTCCAAATATTTATGTTCCAAATATAAAGTTTCAGAAGAGTATTTATGTATATACAAATTTTGTTAGTCCTTGTTATTTTTATGAAATCCCTTTCTTATTTAATATTTCCCCATGTGTTTATATACTGTTTGCCCATATTCTGCACATAAACATTTCGGAGGTTCTTCCATCAGCCTTCCAACTTCGCGTGGCGCCTTGTGGTATAGCCTGGTGGCGCTTCTGTCTCCTACTTCATCCATGTGCAGATTTCCTGTCCCTTCCTATCTACAAAAACTGTACAATATAAAAGTTACTTTAATTATATTAGCTGCTGGGATTCCGCAATTAAGGGTTCGTAGATTTTAGTGAGAAAAAGGTTTAAGAATTTGTTGTTTAGGGGATAGGTTATTTACGAATATCTATTACGTGTCCACATTCCTTTATATTATCAATTATAAAATTTATTATATCAAAGCAGGTTTATTTTCTTAATTTTGCATCCAAGTATAATATTTGGTTTCTCTGGTTTATGTTAGATCCTTGAATAGTTTTCATTATTTTATCTCTTACCCCCCCCCTTTTTAATACATTTTGTTATCACATGATTTTTGTTGAAGTCCTTACTTTTACAAAGTTAGCATTTTGGAAATTTTAGATCATTCCTTTCCTTTTGGCGACTTCCTCGGTCAACCATACGTTATGAAAATATTTGAAAAGAATACTTTATATTTTTAAGGATTTGATATTTGTCCAGTTATTTCATGCATTTGACCCCCCCCCACCAATTTTCCCTTTCAACTTTTCATCTTGTGTATTTTGTATAAAAGTCTCTTATAATTTTATATACAATATTATTATTATTTTTATTTCCCTCCCATATCTCTTTAACATTTTTGAATTTGCACTTTGTAAAAGTAAGGAATTCAACAAAAATCATGTGATGATAGAATGTAAGAAAACTAAGGGGGTTAGAGATATAATTATAAAAACTATTCAAGGATCTAACATATGCCAAAGAAACCAAATATTATACTTGGTTGCAAAAATTAAAAAAGTAACCAGCTTTGATTTAAGGCAATTTATAATTGATAACATAAAGGAATGTGGACACGTAGTAGTCATCCCCTAAACAACAAATTTTTAAACCTTTTTCTCACTAAAATCTACTAAAAAGGAACTGATATATAAGTAATTAATGTTAGGTTGCTACCAAATCGTCACCTTTCACCTAATGATATTTAGCACCTACACCTTATTCACCACCACGAATTAAAAAAACTCTTGTACTTCAATTAAGTGAATTATACGTTATATATCATTACAAATATATTATGAAATACACTCAGAGGTGGAGAAGGTGCAATTATATTTGTATATTTGAAGCTCCATTGCACCTTTCCCCACGGGAGTCCATTACCTTTGTCTCTTGTGATTCTCTGGTTTACATAGCTTTGAATATTTATGTATATTTAACTGTAATGACATTCATTAATTCTACGTCCACCTGTGTTTGTCCTTAAGGCATTGTACAAATAAATACTTTCGATGTTTATTTTATACAGTCTTGTGTTATTCTTTCTAATCAAAAGCTAGACAGGAGGACCAAAAAATAGTGTAGCGCGGATACGGCATTACAGGGCATGTATTTAACAAAATGTGTTCTACCACAATTAACAATACAACCAAAGATCGACCTAAAAATTTGGTACTTTCTGCATGATATTAAAAATTCAATAACTTAAAATTTATGAATGCTCATTATCAAACCTCTTTTTATCAGTATAGATGAAATCTGCATGTCAGCTTCTGTGTAGAGAAAACAATATGAGACGCGAAATTTTCTTAGACATTGCGTGTGTTTGAACCACGTGCTTTCAATTCCGCACCAAAGAGTTAGGTGTTAATTTTATTAATGAGTGTTCCAAACTCAAGACTGTTAAAGGATTGAAATTCCATCAAGAAAACAAATATGTCTCTATTTTGTTACTATTTGCAACTAGGATAAGCTCTCAAAACAGCATTTGTCCTAAAACAAAACATACATTATTAACCAATTCTGTCCAGCGAAATCCATATATACTCTACTAAATGTTCACCCATTTCCTGGCTGGTTATCATTTTCCATACAATTAGAACCATATATCCTACAGTTAAGAGATAGTTACTTACACAGCATCTAGTGGCCATTCTGTCCGCCTGCCTAATTCATTGGCGAACGCTCAGGTGGCCTAGTAGTGGGAGCGTCCGCCTCCGATGCGGTAGGTCGCGGGTTCGAACCCCGTTTTAGTCGTACCAAAGACTTAAAAAAATGGTACTAACAGCTGCCTCGCTTGACGCTCAGCATTAAGAGGTTTGTGTTAGGACTTATCGGTATTGTGTCAAGATAATGTGACAGTGTGGGACATCATGCCACATGTCTGCAGCATGATGCCCCAGTGCTAGACATCACTATAAACTGTCACCCTGCAGACATCATAGCGATATGACTGAAAATGTTTTAAAGCTACTTTTAAAAAATTTAAATATCACACACACAAACACACACACACTTAATTCAGTGATCGATCCATGAAATGGCCAATCGATCGATTAATAATAGTTATATTTATATCTAGTTTATATGTAAAATATTATTCCTATATAATATATATTCATTGTGTGTGCTTCGTTTCTTACAGCAATTTCACGTGTTTATTTATTTTTATTTTCAAAGCTATAAAGTTCACTGACCTAATAGAATTGCTTGATGACTTCCAAATCTAAGTCAATGAACTTGATGCTAACGTACAACGCATGCGTAATGGCCAATACATTCATAAACCAGGTGCTTTCTTTCTTCGCGTGGGATTGACGTTTCAGGCAGATTTCTGAAAGCCCATCTAATTTAGCATATATTAATTTTCACTCCAACCAATATGGTTGCAGATTTCAATCAGTTTTCAATTAAAACCAGTGATTTAAATGATTGTTAGCCCTAAATTTTACGGACTAAATAGCAAACAACATGGAGATTACAATTTAAATGGGAGATAGAAAATATATCAGTGAAAAAATAGAAGCCCGCACGCATAAGAGGAAACATTGAGGAGCTGTTTAAGTTAGAGGATTTGGATATCATATATTTTATAAAGTATATCTGTTGCTTCATTTTCATTACTGTTTAACGTGAAACTGTAAACTTTGATGTATACAAAGGATGTAGCAAAACTTAATATGTGACGGTTTGAATGTAGTACTGAGTTAAGCTGCATACACATGCATTGGTCAATACACATTTTCACAGGACCGAGGAATATCCATGCCTTATCATGGTGGAGAAAAACTGTTTGATGTTTCACACACGTGTACTGGTTAATATACGTGCTGGCAGGAGCATGAATTAGTACCGCTTTTTCACAACAAACAATTAGGTGGAGAGAGAGAGAGAGAGAGAGAGAGAGAGAGAGAGAGAGAGAGAGAGAGAGAGAGAGAGAGAGAGAGAGAGAGAGAGAGAGAGAGAGAGAGAGAGAGAGAGAGAGTAAGTATGTGTGCGATTAACAATTTGGATCCTATTGTTACAATGCGACAAGAGAGAGAGAGAGAGAGAGAGAGAGAGAGAGAGAGAGAGAGAGAGAGAGAGAGAGAGAGAGAGAGAGAGAGAGAGAGAGAGAGAGAGAGAGAGAGAGAGAGAGAGAGAGAGAGAGTATGTGTGCGATTAACAATTTGGATCCTATTGTTACGATGCGACAGTTCATAATGATGTCTATCACTGGACTATCATGCCGCAAACAGTAATATGTTGTCACACCCAGTCACATTATCTTGACACTAGGTCGACCAGTCCTAAAACTAACCGCTCAATGCAGAGCGCCAAGCGAGGCAGCGCCATGCACCATTTTATCTTTGGTATTACTCCCGATTGGCATATCCATTGTCGCATTTTTTACAATAGTATCTGTAACCGATAAATCATTGGTAATGACATCGAAATGTTCTTTGTTACGATAGATGTGAATGTTATTTTACGTCTCGGAAACTGGGGCCTCTAGACACCAAAGGTCAACGAATCACTTGAGGGTATACAGTCAACGTGTAGCGTGCAGCCAACGCAGTATGTGCATTTCAGGAATGCCACAGGCAGTCTCTTTAGATAGGCCGGCTTGATGTAAAGATAGTCTGTTCGTTGTTTGACTCGGTCCGATTGTCCAATGTTCTCCCAATCTCTTTTCGATTCTGCAGTGTCGTCCACATCGGCATACGTTCAAACCGTGAAGCTTGTTATGGCTAGACACATGTGGTCCTGTAAGTTGTTAATTTGAACGATGTGCTGCGATTATCGTCCACCACTAGCACTTTTCTGCGTTCGTTCCATTGGGTGAGGATACGTGAGTCATGTAAAGTGTAGCTTTGCCATTGGTGATGTGAAATGAGTCGTTGGACTGCTGAACGTGTTGAATATTGACGAGTGTCAATTTTGACTGGTTGCTAAACTCAGTCCAAACGGGTGACTTCAAACTGTGGTGATAAATCTCAAACGATCATCTTCTTTGGTTTAGCAATGTCGTTTCACTGTCTCTAAAAAGGAATCCCACAAATTTATGATCAAACATTCTGCTTTCTCGAGTGGCACTTCAGACATGAAATGTTTAAACTTTACAGTGTAAGTGCAAGCTGTGGTTTTAAATTTTCTGGAAGAAAGTTTTTGACTCTCTCACATGTGGTAATAATGTTTGGGTGATACTAGCAGACTTTTATTTAGGCTTAGCTCTCTTGGGGGTTGGGGGTTACGTGGAAGGAATTGATTCGAGATCGCTGGCATGGATTTGACCCAACACTTCTGTTCTTGTACGAGGCGATATGTCATATCGTGGCCTTTTAGTTTCTTGTTCTTTTTTACTGAAATTGTGCGATCGTTTCATCTTGATTTCAAAATTCGATCTGACTATATTTTATTCACAAATGGTTCTTATATATAAGACTAGTGTCTTGAGTATTCATAAAGTTTTCAAACAGTCAAGACGGAAGAGCCAACACAGATCGAGCTTCTGGTCAGAGCTTTGAGAAGCGTCATACGAAAGAGAAAACGACGGACTACTCGTCAAGGGATACAAAGTCATGATACTTGCTATATATGTCTGGACAAAGGATATAGGCTAATGAATGCCCACATCGTCAAAGCAAAGGAAAGACAGGAGAAAAGAGAGACAGAAACCAACATATTGTCATTGTCCGGAGAAAGGCCACTCGTTTTAAGAGTTCATGCCGTAAAATTGTACTAAAAAAGAGAAAGTAGAGGATGAAGATGAGAGGTGTAATGTCAATGAAGAAGATTACATGCTCGTCAAGAAAGACACAAACACACACCACGAAGATAAAGTGCCGACATTCTCGTCAAGAAAGACATAAAACACATCACGAAGATAAAGTGCCGATATGCTCGTCAAGAAAGACAAAAAAAATACCACGAAGATAAAGTGTCGACGTGATCGTCAAGAAAGACCAAAAAAAAAAAAATAACACAACACGAAGATAATGTCGACATGCTCTTCAAGAAAGTCAAAAACTCACCACGACGATACAGTGTCATATTGCTCGTCAAGAAAGACACAAACACACCACGAAGATAATGTATCGACACACGCACACACACGCACAGACACGCATGCACACACACGCACGCACATGCATACACACACGTAAATTTCAAGCGTGATGGGAAAAGGGATTTAAGTTTTTAACGATTTGGGAAAATTTGAGGAGCATAATTTTTCTAGAGATTTGGGTGGTTCAAAAAAGGACCGTTGAGTGTTTGTGTTTATAACAGACTCATAAACCGGATAATACGAGTTTGAACTGCTTTAACTCAGTCTTACTACTGTGGATCATTTGGTTGCTACGGATGACCTCTCACGATAGTGAGCGTAGAGGTAGCAATAGCTGGGTTGGAATGCTTGGCATGAGGTTTCTTTCTTTTGGGTCGAGTTCAAGAATTATGATTTATTTGTCTCAGATACCTTAATTGTGCCAAAATATATAGTATAGCAACACCGTTAAATTTGGCTTTGACCGTCATTCTTCTCTCCTTCGCACTGTCTTTTCTCCTCGTCTCATTATCTGCTTTCCTCATTTTCCTGTTGAACGAAAAAGTTTTCTTTTGCCTTTTTTGCAGTTTTAAAAATTTCTTTAATTCTTTTGTCTCTGTCTAAAATCCTCTACCAAAGGTAACGAGAGAGAAGGCCGCGAAGGTATTGGTAAGAAAATTGGTTAAATCCCAATTAAAATCATTTTCTGGAAGTATGACCGTGGTTGTTTTCGTAGCTAACATGCACCCTGCCATCATTCCTCGTGTGTGGTATATTCCCACAGGACGATTAAGTTCCAGTAAGACAAACATAGGACAATTACACATTCAACAGACGTATGCAGATCTGTAAGCGTCCCAACACTGGTCAGCCAACATGACGCTGAAATCATAAAACTAAAAACCCTAATGCTGGTCAACCAACGTGACACTGAACTCACAAGACTAAGAGCCCTAATGCTAGTCAACCAACGTGGCACTAACGTCTTAACAAGGCTAAGAACACGAAAAAGCTTTTAGCTTTGGCAAGTCCTTATTTAGTACCAATGCAACAGGCAAGGTCCTTAGCAAGTACCAATGCAACAGGCAAGGTCCTTAGCAAGTACCAATGCAACAGGCAAGGTCCTTAGCAAGTACCAATGCAACAGGCAAGGTCCTTAGCAAGTACCAATGCAACAAGTATCAACTGCCCACAATGCACCACTCCAGAAACAGGTGAACATGTCATCTACGAATGCCCCAACTACGACGTACAGAGGACAATATATCAGCATGATAGAGGAAATTTAAAGATTCGATAACCAATCCAGAATTTATTAAATCAGGAACGAGAAATATGGAGAGGATGTATAATATTATCTTGATATGCATCTCTGATAAATAAAAAAAATGACAAAATATAACCTCCTACTATAAACCAGCATATGGATAGAAATACCAAAGAATAACTCAACAAAATAATTTCGATAAATGCATATACAAAAATTATTTAAATAAGGCAAATAATCCCACTGGTCTAAGCGGGCAATAGGGTGTTAATCCACCGCGGAGAGGAACGGTGGCGAGCTCATTAGCGGCTACGCGCTGCAATGCGTACTAGCTGACCTTGAGTGGAGATGGATATCCCACGCCATATAAAATGGACCAATACGATTAGGCTTCGCATTGAAATGCAATTTTCAATCTTACACAGAACCAAAAAAATAAAAAAATTTAAAAAAATGCACAAA